ACGTGTTCGAACTTCCCTTGGGTTCCTAATGAATATTACATCTTCTTCTAAGTCTGGATCACCAACGTTAGGGACTGCCATTTCATCATTCCAATTACAATATACATTGAAACGTCCTTTCAAAACATTTTTAAAATCCGCATATTTAGCATTGTTGTCCAACACAACATCACAATTCCTATCAAACCATTTCTTCAAGGAATTGTACTTTTTGTACTCGTCCGTCATTGATGGATAGCCTCCTTGAAAGAATTTACCTATGTGTGGTCGAATTACGTCCCTTCTCCACCGACGTAGAATATATCTGTCATGGAACATTTTAATTCTACAATGAGACATAGTCTTTAAAATGTGACAGCAAACAACACCTTCACTTTGGAAATTCTTGCAATTGTATTCCAGATATCGATTCTGTGGCCGATATTCCACAATGTAAACAAATCGATTTCCATGAAAATCATTAGATATGGAATAATCTGTTACACTGTACTTCTCAACTCCCTCCACAACATTGAAATCATGGTGTCTTTCAATTTCACAGTGGTACAACCGCTTCAAATGCTCTGCTGCAAAGGCATCGTAAATAGGTCGAGTATAATGGGTTTGAAGCTGCAAATCCCAATCAAAACCACTACAAGGTGTTGCATGCTTTTTTCGTGAGTCAGCTTCTGCTTGAAGTTCCTTCTCATAATTAAATCGCAAGGTTAACTCATACTGCTCGACGAACTGCTTTAGAGAGCTTCGACCGGATATATAACCATAAAAAATGCATGCATTGACTCACTTCTTTGGGTGGACATCATGCCAGCCCAAAAATAGTGTTTCAGGAAGATAGGGATCCATTTTTCCTTCTCCAAGTATAGATTATGAAACCATAGTCTATGCTGAAGCTTGTATTTTTGAATAAAGCCAGCCCATTTTTTCTCAAATTCATTGATAGTGATGTTGTTATAGATTATTGATTTAAATTCGGGATTGGCAATCTTAAAGTCCCACACACCCTTAAGCTTTGCAGGCAGCTTTGTCATGATGTACCAAATACAATACCTATGGATGATGTCTGGAAATACCTCTACAATTGCTGCTTTGATACTCTTACATTGATCAGTGAGAATAGTCGTTGGAGGTTCATTGCCCATTGCTGCCAGCCAAGTAGAGAAAACGTAAGTCTTAATATCCTCACTTGTGAGCAAAGTGCAGCCCAAAAAAATAGACTGTTTGTGTTGATTCACACCAACAAAAGATGCAAATGACATGCGACATTGATTCACCAAGTACGTTGAATCGAAACAAACAACATCACTAAACTCCCGATACGCATACTTGTAATGTGTGTGAACCCACACTACGTTGCGAAGTCTACCAACATTATCTGTGTCAATTACATAAAAAAATTCATCGTCCTTCATCTGCATTGAAGCGAAGAATTTTTGTATTGCCGCAGCATCACATGACAATGTCCTCATCCTGCGTTGTTGAAGAATGTAGTTTTGACAGTCTTTAGGTGTGCATCCCATTCTATCTGGACCACCTGCTTGTACTTCCAAAAGTCTAATGCTTTTGGCAAGTCTAATTCCTGCGATGTCATGGGCTTCAAGGTTTCGTTTTAATGCCTTACATATTTTCCTATGGCAACCAAAAACACGTGCCAAAGATGGTTGTGCTCCGTTGTAATTGTTGTTACGCGACATGAACATCAGGCAGCACAACACAATTAACTTTGCATTTGCAATAAACTTTTTTACTATAATTCTTAGCAGTTGGTTTTCTACTTTTATCATAAGCGAATGAGACATACCTAGCTTATTCACAACCTCTCTTTTTTGAAGTCTTTTTAAGAACTCCAAATCCATTTAAATGACTATGTTCTTTATAAAAAGCAAAAGGAGATTCTACACTACAATAGACCATATCTACAAGAGGGCCTTCCATATATTGTTGGTCTGAAAAATTATCATCATTAGCTGAATTTGTCTGTTCATTACATTCTTCTTCAGCTTCATATTCCTCTCCGTCACAAACACTTATTGATTCCTCTTGCTCCGGTTGATTCATTTCTTCAAAGAGCTTGTTAATAACATCTTCATCATCACTATGCAAATAATGTTCTGGCCCATCGTATGCATCATCGGAATCTTCATGATGTTCATCATTTTGGGACAACAAACCATCATCCTCATATAACCCCAAAACATTATTCAATACATTGTTTAATTGGCTATTCTGACTAGTCGATTCCATCTTGTTAAAATTATATAAATCCAACAACAAAATAAATTCTTGATCAACAAATTAAAATAAAAACGGATGAGAGTGAATAGTGAAGTTGAAAGAGATAAAAAGAGTAAAGTAAGAGAGAGTAAAGTTGATGGAGATAAAAAGAGAAAAGTAAGAGAGAGAGTAAATAATAATTAAATTGTCAAAGGTGGTTTTCCTTTTTGGAGGGAAATACAAGTGGTTTTGGAGCTAAAGGGACATTTTCGTCATTTACCCGTGTCTTGACAATTCGTGCCAAAATTTTGTCTTGCCAATTAGCAGTGCTCCTAATCCTCAAACACCGAAAAGACAAAAGGGGCTCCAAAACCAATCAAAAGAGTCACATTTCTTAGCCCTAATTTCAATTAGGGGTGTGCAAAAATCGAACCGACCAATAAATCAAACCAAAAAAAATGTTATTGGGGTATTGGGTTAACGGGTTTTTAATGGTTTTATAAGAAAAATAATTGGGTTATCGGTTTGGTATCGATTTTTAGTATTGGGTTATTAGGTAAATCGATAACCCATTAAGACGATAGTAAGTTACTACTATACTTTTCATAAATATTAAATATTAATCATTTAATATAACTAGACACTATATCAATACTCTACACTACGGTCTACACACTTCACACGTCATAGTACTTCTACTTCACAACAGAAATTTCATATTATGTTTTGGTTGTAACATGTTATTGTAGCCTTCATACTATATCTACTCTTATTGATGGAATTTCTCATTATATTTCTTGTTTCACTGTATCAAAGCATTTACAGCTCATTTGCCTGTCTCACTGTATCGTGCCAAATTGTTAGAAAAGTGAGAAATCATATATTTATTTTATGAGCATTTTTTTATTGGTTAAACCGAAAACCAAATCGTTAATAACCAAAAACTGATAAAGAATATCTTATTGGTTTAGCTTATTTAAAAATTGAAAACCGATAAACCGAACTGAGAGAACATTGTTGAAGGCTCACTGAGTGCTTCTAGGTTAAAGGTAAGCACTAGACTCACTCCACGGGAACTCGCTTTTCGTGCACACCCCTAATTTCAATAACTCAAAGAACTAGTCCTCAAACAATGAAAAGGCTGTACAAACTCAAAAAAGGTGTCAAAAGAATATCTTTACGAGTATGGAAACCAGTGGGTTTACAATTTTTTCCTTTGTAGTAATTTCTTGGACCCTTTTTGGCTGTGAGAATGTCAAGAGAGGCTGTACTCTTCTTTCTGAAAGCCTTCCCTATCCCCACTAACAAACCCAATGCCATTTTTCTCCAATTTTCAACCTCAAGAGTGACAAAGATGAAGAATCGGTGTGTTTTTCTGGGGTTTTAGCCTCTTCCAAAGGGTTTATTCTCTCTTAGCCAATTTCGACCGCATCAAAAGAAAATTATATATCCCATATGCTTTTTCATTTGTCACTTGTACCCTTCTTTAGTTTTTACATATGTGGCAACTCAAGCTCAAGGATGAGGGTTATTGAGGGTCGATAAAAAATACTTAATTTATTTACCTCATAAAGGTAAGGGTAAAATTATGTATATTTTGAAGGCCTTTGATTATTATGTCTCATTGTGAAATTAGAAAGATTAAAAAGTTTTATTTTTAAAGTGAAATAATAATATTTGAAAACTAGAGTTGTGTTTGTGTTTTTCATTTTTTACTAGAGTAGCAATTTGGGTGGAAAAAAAAAACAAATGTATCAGTAGCTCTATTTCCAATAATTCATTGACATGTTATTTTGGGACACTTTAAGGATGAAGCAAACCTTTAACCATATACTAAAAAAAGCAGTTAAAATATGTTGAGGTCTATTATAAAAAAAAATAGCAATTTTCACATATAGCAAACATAAATATCATATTTGTATGTTATAGCTATAATTTGTATAATTGTGCGCCATATAAATATGTATATTTCGCTATACATATACAAAAGAAAGCAGTTGTATATAATTTGTTTTTGTTTCGGTATACATATACAAAAGATTAATTGTATAATCTGTGTTTGTATAAAGCGAGAAAGAGAGAAAGGCAAAAAAGAACTGGGCAAAGGAATATTTGTATTGTATAATTATAAGTGTATAGGACGAAGATATATATATTTGCATGTGTATATACAATTTTCTCTCGCTTTATACAAACAGAAACACAATTTATACATTTTTGTTGAATAAGCGAGAGAGGCGAGGGAGATCTAGGAGAGTGGCGAGCGAAATCTGGGAGAGGTGAGAGAGGAAAACGAAAATATATGTATATATACAATTTTCTCTCGATTTACACAAACACAAACACATTTTATACATTTGCGTTTGTATAAAAGCGAGAGAGGTGAGGGAGAGAACGAGATTCACCAAGAGAGAGGCGAAATAGCAACAGTTTGTTATGGGATACAATTAAATCAAACTATGTTTATAGTATTTAATTTGAATTAATAGTTTGCTATTATATACAATTTTCCCTAAAAAAAATTGTAAACCCATTAAACAGATAGAGCAATTGTTTGCAACTACTAATAATTATACATTTCTACTATGAATAACCTCATAACATTTTCAAAATATAGAAGTAGAAGGACCTTTTTTCATATCATCTCAAAATTTCAAAATTAACTAAACTACAATATTTATTGAACAAACAATTTTTACATTCAAGGACTTGATTTATCTAAGCAAAAATTAAATTCAAAGATAAAAACACAACATTGCCAAAAGAGAACCATACCTACACCTAACATTTCAATCTTTGTAACTAAAAAATAGCCAATAGCCTAGAGTTCCAAAATGTACAAGGAAAACGTCACGATAATATCCTGAAGTTTCACTTGTCGAATTTGAAACTCTGTAACAATGACTAACTTTCTAAAAACAAGGTCGAAAAGTGGCTAGGTAGTGCTATTTCTACAACTTAGGCCTTTTAGCCTATATGCTTACAATTAACACTAGATTTCAAATGTTCAATGGACCAGCCCACCATTTTGGTGTAATGGACTAACATGCCCATTCGAAAGCCCGGCCCGTTTCCTTGCATTGACCTTTATGTTTTCCATGAATTGATGAAAATTCTTCTCAGATGATCCATCTTGTCCTAATGCATTCTCTAATGTCTTCCTCACTTCCTTCACTGCTTTTCTCAACTCTTGAGTACTATTCCCACACATAAAATGGCTAACCTTTTCGGCTACTTCCTCGTGTGTAACGCGTTCTTTGTCACACAGGTTAATTCCGATCTTCCAATCATTTACAACTAGTTTTCGGTTAGTGAATTGATCAGTCAGCAAGGGAAAACAAATCAACGGTATACCACACCATATGCTTTCCAATGTCGAGTTCCATCCACAGTGAGTCAGGAATCCACCAGTCGCAGGGTGTGATATCACTTCAATCTGTCTACACCATGGCACGATCAACCCGCGATCTTTTATACTTTCCTCAAACCCCACAGGCAGGAAATCCGTCTCATCCGAGCTAACGATATCAGGCCTTAGGACCCAAATGAAGTTCACCCCACTAAGTTGAAGCCCATGGGCTATCTCCAATAGGTCTTCTTTACTAGTGTGAGCATAGCTCCCAAATGAGACATACAAGACTGAGGAATTGGGCTTGTTGTTGAGCCATTGAGAGCAATCAGACTCAGACCATAGGCTAATACTGAATGGGGCCTTAGTGAAATTCCCAGATGGGAAAATGGGACCAATAGCATATGTGGGCTGGTTTTTGTTTAGGGCTGAGAGGGTATCAAATTCAAGTTCTTGGACTGTGTTACAAATGATGATATCAGCCTTTTTAATATCTGTAAAGGCCTTGTAGATTACCCTATGCACCACAGTCCATATATCAGTTGCTTGGAGATAAGACATCAAGTCTCTTGGTTCAATAGCTTTAACTCCTGGTATGTAGTCTATAGTGTCCTTTCGATTATCTGAAAAATAAGAATATAATTTAATCAAATTATCTACTACTATTAAGAAAGAGTAATATCTAGAAAGAAAGAACGGATTTCACAGATAGTAGCACAAGAAAAAGACTTGCTTTTGATGCCACCATGTGCCTACCAACAATGGGATGAGTGGCAGGTTCTTGTCACTCTTTTGATGTGATGCCATTGTGGTGACACAAGAACTATCGAACAGGGACAACTTTCATCTCATCACAGACATGTGAAAGACTAGTGCATCCAAGTACAACACTAGAAATGTGATAGGCCTAGTTAGTTATTTATATGGTCTAAGACTCACAATAATCTTACTATATGTTTAAGAGGAAGGAGCCTACCAGCATCAAGATGCAACTAACGAGCTGACCAGGAACATGTTCCAATTGCTCTAGAACCACTAAAGAAGGGCAACTTTCATCTTAACGTTGGCGTTTGGAAGACTAGTGCATACAAGCACAGCGCAATGAATATCATAGGATTCATTAGTCATTACCATAGTGTTAGACCCCACAACAATTTTTTACATATAATGGGTTGTTGTCTGTTGAGGTACTTGTAGCACATATTGAGACAAAGAGTCCTACTCATAAGCTGAAAAGTCACTTCACTAACATAAAATAATTTCAAGTAGACTCACCAATCCCACTCAGGACCAATAATGAGTTAGTAAAGGAATCAATGCTAGATTCTCAATATAAGACTGATTAGCATAGCTACCTTTTAAAAAAATTCAATTAAAACTTTATGCTCCAACCCTATAGTCCAGTTTTTAAAATATTACATGTACAAACTTATTCATAAACCTTTTTTTCTAATATGATGCAGATGTGACAACCAAGTGGGGGTCAAGGCAATGTTAGATAGTCAAAGAAGGCAGCTATTCAAATAGTAAAATGAATATCTTTAGTCCACCAAATATGCACAGGCTAGGTTTTTTTTTTTTCGATAGACCCTCACCTCAAGAAAAAGAAATCAGAAGTGCAGAAGCCATAGCACAAACAAAAGAAGAAAAACATGACAAAGTATAATTACTTATATGAAAGAAGAAGTTAGACAATACACAACTATCTACTAACCTTCTATCTTAATCAATATAAACACATATTACACATTAGTTACATACTGTATACTGGTTAGAACTTATAAAAAGATGGTAATTATGATTATTTTTTATTATAGGTTTTGTAGAGTTGTTGTGCAGTGCAACATCATTCCTTATTTTTAATTCTAAAGATATCTCCAACTCCAAGTGTGAACACCTATTTTATTATAATATCCACATGCAATAACAGACAAAAGATCAAATTAAAGACACCACTAGACCAATTTGACTAATTTCTCTCTGAAAATGTGAAAACTCTTGTTACATACAAAAACTTTTTTTTGTAGGCATCTCTCAACCATCAACCATTAATGTTTTCAAAAAAACAAAATAAAAACATGTTTTGTTTTAATTAAGATACAAACTATTTTTAGAAAATAAGTTGTTTGTTCTGAAAATCAAATTCTAGTAGCTAGTAGTAAAGTGGTATCTCAACTAACCACCATTATCACCACCAAACTTTCATTGGATCCCACAACCTAAAACAGGACAAAAACAAAAAGGAAGGAGACACCCACTGGCCTACCCAACATTTTACACCAGTTATGTTGGTACATGGTCACAATCCAATTTACAAGTGTTGGTTGTGATCAATAAAGTGAATTCAGAATCATAAGGTTTCAGATTCAAATTCCAATGAAGCCAAGAATATCAAACATTTTTTCATATATGTCCAAGCTAGTGAACAGAGTTTCCAATATGTGTTGCTAAGGAGGCAAAATATATCCTATAGAATTAGTCGAGATGTATACTAACCGAACAACATGATTATGCATTATATTATTTTAAAAAGACTATTAGTTGGCTTTGAGACTTCACTTTCTGATTGATATTTATTCTACGGGGCGTCAGTCACATATTATATTTTTCAAATACATACATTTATATTATAATCCTTGTGAATCCATATCAAGTGGCACTTTTTTCTAAAAGGTGGTATGGATCGCAAGAGATATACTCAATCCATGTAAACTCTGAATTATCATTTCATTATTGAGACAAAAGTAGTCGAAATTAAGTGTCACATAAATTGAGACAGAAAAAACAATTATCAACTTCTATAATTAAAAAAAGCATCTTGCATTCACAGAGGTCAGGTAAAAGCTGAAAGGAAGTAATGTGACATAGACAACCTAGCATAATAATGCAAATATTAACAACTATTTTCTTAGCTTGAACTCGTGACCTACAGATAACTGGGAGAAAATGAAAAGGGGGCACGAACCTTGAGAAGCAAAATGTCCATTTTTCTTGAGCAATTCCATATGATAATACAGATTAAAAACCAGAGCAGGTTCCGTCCAAAACGAAACATAAACCAAATTATACTTGTCGGCAATCATCGCCGGCCATACATAAAAAGTATCAGCGATCAAACACGTCACCGGCGGATCCGATTTCACCAAATCCCCAACCAATTCATCAAAATGCGCCGAAAAAACGTGCAACAAACCCTCAACAAATTGGTCATGATTCAATGACCTATCAAACCCTAAAGGAAACCCATCATTCACAGTCGCGTAACGAATATCAAGCCCAGATTCACGAGCTCTAGCAAACAGATCATCTTTGTTTTTTATTTGAGAATTTTCTCTAGATTGAGAATTGGAAATCTTAGAATGGATATAATGAGTGTTTACAAAAGTGATTGTGAAACCATGTGAAGCTAATTTTATAGCTAAATACACAAAAGGGGTAATGTGACCTTGATATGGATATGGAATCATAATAGCATGAGGTTTTTGGTGATGATTCGCCATTGTTGATGATGATGAAGATGATAGAATTTTTTTAAAATTTTTTTATTTTTTTTTTGGATTTTTCTTTGCAAGGAAGAATAGGTATTTGGAGAAGATGATTGACGAATTTGCGAGTTTCAAGTGGACATTTATTTGTGCTCCATAAATGAAGGGAAAAGGAGGGGAAATGAATTAAAGGAGGGGAAAATGGGAAATTACAAGGAAAGGGAATGAGATTTTGTAAAATTCTAATTTGAGTAATCAAACTAGAATAATTTATTTTAATATAGGGAAGGGCTAAATGGACCATAGTTTTTAAGTCAATAGATATTGACTACTCAAATGTCCTCTTTTTAACTTTTTATCAAGAATTATTGATGATTTTTCCTCATATTTTAAATGTGATGATATCTTTTGTTTTCTATTGTAATTATTATTCTTGTTAAAAGTAAGATTTTTGAATTAAAAATATCAAATTTAACTAATACAAAAAAAATGTATGGATCATGGTGCTTAAAGGGGTTAGTTGAGCAAGAGTAAAATAGAGTACCTAGAGTTCAAGTTCAGTGACACAACTCACGTGGTCGATGTAGAAGTAAAGATTGATATGATATTCAAGTAGTCTTCAAAAGAGAAAGTTTTTATTATCTTGGGTTAACAATTCAAAGAAATGAAGGGATTGATGATGATGTTACATATCTTATTGGAGCATGAAGGATGAAATGGAAATTCGCAGATGGTATTTGTGTGATAAGAATGTGTCGTTAGAACTTATGTTGTCACGAGCCTAGATGCGAGTGTATGCACACATTTTGTCTGGTTAGTGTCGAGTTTATTTTGATAAACACTGGGTGATAGTTTAGTTAGGAAGTTAAACTCACACACTTTGAGATATTCAACTTGCAAAAGCATGATATTTCAGATGTGTTTTTCCTCATTCATTCAATATAATAATAATTAATCCATCCGTTCCAATTTACATGACACCTTTCGAATTTCGAGATTCAAACAAGTCTATCTTTGATCGCAAATTTTTCATATGTCTTTTAAATATTTTGAATTGTCAATTATTGTAACTTACAATACTTTTTACGTAATTTATAAATATATAATTTCATTTTAAAAAAAATGGAAACTCCATAAGCAAATCTCCAAGCAAATTTAAACTATTTGACTCTCGAAAAAACAAAAAAGTATCACGTAAATTGGCGAAATTGAGGGAGTGTATATATATATAGCTTCAAAGAATTCTCACACCTCTCACTAAGTTAAGTGTCCGTTTGGATGGGCTTTTAAGTTGGTTAAACTGACTTAAAAGTCAGTGTTTGACTAGTGAGAGTGTTTGACAATTATAAAAATAACTTAAAATAAGTCAAAAGTTAAAAGTAGGGTGATCCCTACTTTTTTTTCTTTTAACTTAAAAGTTATTCTACTTTGACCAAGTATATTACTTTTTTACCTTTAATTCTTTTAAACAATTCCCAAAATTCTTTTATGTGATCTATTCAAATTATATATTTTTGAAATTTAAAATAAGTTGCACATTTAAAATTAACTTAAATATTAAGTTATTGAAATTGAATTAAAATATAAATTAATTTTGTTTTAATTTTTCTTAGAAATAAAAACCTTAGATTAATCAATTTTTTATTATGTTAACAATTTTAAGGGTATTTCAGACATTTTGATAAAAAAGTGTTCAACAACTGCAACACTTTTATCTAAACACATAACTACTTATTTTTAAAAGAACAACTTTCACATATAGCAAACATAAAAATCATATTTGTATGTTATAACTATAGTTTGCATAATTGCGCTTCATAGCAAACATAAATATGTAAATTTCGCTATACATATACAAAATAAAACAATTGTATTATCTGTTTCGGTATACATATACAAAAGATCAATTGTATAATTTGTGTTTGTATAAAGCAAGAAAAGAGAAAGACAAAAGAAAACTGGGCAAGGGAAGATCATATTTGTATAATCATAAGTGTATAGGACGAAAATATATGCATTTGTATTTGTATATACAATTTTCTCTCGCTTTATACAAACACAATGTATACATTTGTGTTTGTATAAAGCGAGAGGCGAGTGAGAGTGGCGAGCGAGATCTGGGAGAGGGGAGAGAGGGGAACGAAAATATATGTATATATACAATTTTCTCTCGTTTTATACAAACACAAACGCATTTTATATATTTGTGGTTGTATAAAAGCGAGAGAGACGAGGGAGACTGCCCAACGAGAACGAGAGTGGCGAGCGAGATTAACCAGGAGAGAGGCGAAATAACAACAATTTGCTATGGGATACAATTAAATCAAACTATGGTTATAACATTTAATTTGAATTAATAGTTTATTATTATATACAATTACCCTTTTTAAAATAACTTTCAGCACTTTAAAAAGTTACTTTTTAAAAGTAATTTTTTTAAACCAATTCAAACGGGCTCTTAGTATAATCTCCCTTTTCCTTGGACATAATTTCATCTATTTAATATTTATCTTAATCTTCTAACATGGCACATAATGATCATATATAAAGCATTAAGGGAAAACATATACAAATAGATTTCCCATGTTAGCATTTTAAATTTTCTGATACCCTATTTGAAATTCTACAAGAAAATTAAAGGTTGTTGCACTTTAGATTCATGTTAATAATAAAGTTGTTGCATTTTATCATTAAAATAACATAATATTATATAATAAAATACATTATAAAGCAATGCTTTAGAATTGGCATCTCAGAATATGCATATGTAAACCATTAATGAAAAAGTAGCAAATCAATTTTTTTGAAGTGACCTAAAAGGATGAAATTGGTGGCTCAGAGGAAGATGGACCATATGAGGTTTGGTAAAATGGGGACATATGTTCTACATTATGATATTAATATCAAGAAAAATAGAGAACTCTAAAATAATTAGACGGAATGGTCTAGAGATTTTCGTACTTATTTTGATTTATCATCTCAATTCTTGTATTTGTTTGAAGTTCTATTCAGACATTTTTACTTTGATTTATCATCTCAATTCTTCTATTTGTTTGGAGTTCTATTCAAACATTTTTACTTGATCAAAATAAAAAAAATTAACTCTTCTGACAAGCTTATGGTTATTTACATAAATTAGGAGGAAAGATTATTAAGCAATAAAAATAATTGAAATACTAACAAGTTGAAGGATGAAAATCTTTTTTCTTATTTTCTTTTCTTAATTTTTTTTTTTCTTAACCTTTCCCTATGGGCTTCATCAGAGTATCAGTAATGTCGAGACTTGGACTGTGTTGTGACAATGATAGTAGGAGTATGGGTTATTTTTTAAACTTTTTTTTATTTTATAAATCAATGTTTCCAACTTGCATATTTTAAGACCACCCATGTTTCTTGTTTATAGGCCATATTTAATATTTTTTTAATGTCTTGATATTGTTTGATTCGATATAATATTTAATTTGTAGTCTAAACTCACTCATTATGATCTTATCATAGAGATGAGCTGTCGAAAGACAATTTAGATGAAGTTAGCAAGATGTAACAATAACTAGGTTAGGATACTAGCATTTGTCATTAAAAAAACTTGCCAGAAAGCAGATCAAATATATAGAGGATGATAGTACAAGCAAACTACTAGGTGAACGAGGTCGAAGGGATCTTATGCAAAACCTTCATCGACAACCTCTCATTTGTTCGACTACTCATGAAGTTTGTTGTGTTTAGGTATATAAGAAGTCTTATCCTGAAAAAGAGTGTAAAACAATGCTCATCTTAAAATAATATTTTGATATTTTTCTGGCTATACAATATTTCATTCATGGTAAATGAATTTTTTTAAAACTAAGTTATTTTCAACTATACAATGTACAAACACAATATTATATTTGTTTAAAAGAAATTATAGAAGTAAAGTGTATCACATAAGATCGAATGAATTGTACTTTTTAAGTTCCAAGACATAATGGAACCAGCTGCCTCTGTGGCAGAATATTCTCTTATATATGATCATCTCCATTGAGCATATTCCATGAATAAAAGGATTATTGAGGCAGATTTAGAATGGTTCTGCTGATTCAATTGAACTCATAAAGATTGATTATGAATAATATATATATATATATATATATATATATAAAACATGATTATCTACTCATTCAAAATATACTGATTCTTGGAGTGTTTAAGTATGGATGAACTTTTTTTTCCAGAAACTAATATTCAACTTTTTTTTATGTCTAGTTAATCAAAAAATTTGAAAAATAAATTTCTTTAAAATAAGGAAAATAACCCGTGCACCGGGCCATATTCTGAACCAGGCCTCCTAAACCATCCTGGATCATCACCTTAGGAAACAGCCCAGCCCAACCCAAGAACCGAAAAGCTTAAGATGCCAATTATTAGTTCTTTAGTTTCCGATATATGATCAGACATATGAATTCAAAATTTAAAGTTATAGATTTTATAATAAAGTTAAATTAATATAATAATAATAATAATTGAGTTCACACTTCACAGATCAATATTAATCCAAGTACACAACGTAAATAAAAGTTATTGAATTCACGTGAATACAATGTTTTAAGACTAGATCCTCTCAAGCTAAACTAATCTTCATCTTCAATTCTTCAACAAACTTATTGAAATTAACATTTGATGATCCATTCGTAGCTAATGTATTATGAAATGTCTCTTTCACTTGTGCAACATTCTTCCTTAAATTACTCGAAGTCTCTTCGTTCATCAAATATTTAATCTTATCGCATACTTCCTCTCTCGCGATCGATTCCTCGTCACGAAGATTGATTCCAACTTTCCAATCATAAACCACCAATTTCCGATTAGCGAGTTGATCGGTGACAAGCGGAGAACAAATCAACGGCACCCCACACCAAATGCTTTCCACAACAGAATTCCATCCACAATGACTCAAAAAACCTCCGACTGCTGAATGTGAAATGACCCTTGTTTGGTTGCACCATGGCACGATCAACCCTCGATTCTTCACTTTTTCTTTATATCCAATGGGCAAAATATCATTTTCATCTTGACCTAAAAAATTAAACCTAAATACCCAAATGAAATT